CTGAGACGAGAGGCAGTGGCAAGGTTTTTTTGGGGAAGTGCATTGGTCAGTGGCCGTGCTTCGGGATGACAGTGGCAGTACTTTGCTGGTGAGGTTTTGGGGGACATTGGCTGTAATTTTTGAATGGATGATGTGAAATCACCAGGGAGTGAGACATGGGACAGTTATCGTGCTGATGTGGTTTTTTTGTAGTTTCTCATTTCCCTCCCCGGGTAGCAGTCTCGCCTCTCGTGTTCCGCGAAATTTCCCTTCCTGCCCAAGTCTCCTTTTCTTATGTAAGACTCCAGTATTGGTTGTGGGTTTTTTACTTTCGATATGTTTATCATCTTTTTTTCGTATGAATACATCGTTCTTTTTACCTTTTGGGATATTTTTAGAATGATGTATTCCTCAGGAATTAGAGGAGCTCTCTAAGTCGTCATTTCTTTTGTGGAGGTCCCTCTGGGTCTAAGCACTTTTTCACTGAATGTTTTTTGATGAAGCTTCTACAATCTCTTTGCTTCCCTTTCCTTAGTCTGAACCTCATCATGATGGTAGCTAAGTCGTCTTTTCTAAGCTCTTGCTTATTGAACAATGAAGGAGACGCAGCCAGAAATATTTTTATATAGGGTGATTTTTGCTTTTTTTTGCCAGGTGAGGAATTTTTCATGACCACTGTCTCATTGTGCTGCGCAGAGGAAAAAGTCCTCCAGAAACATTTCCGTTTTTCCAATTTCCAGTGTTTGCCTGGTGAAATGCATGTGTCTTATGTTACGCCCTCATGCTACTGGAACTTCTCAGTTTCTCTCTCTTTTTTTTTTTATCTCTGTTCGTGCATCATTTCTCTCCATTTTTTAAATTCTTTTTCAATGGTCTGTTTTGCTCTGGAGGTCCCGAATGCAATCTGGTGCTGAGGGTAGGTGGTGTCCGAGGAGGCTGCTGATGGCTTTGTCCAGTGATGCTTTCGGGTATATCTCCAGGAATGGACATCCCACAACCTCCCTGATCTCTGTTTTGGTGTTTTATCACCTTCATGGTAAAGATAATAATAATGTGTTTATTCTGTCATGTTTGAATTCCCTGTGTTCCAGATTGTGTCATTACCTGTCCTCTTCTGTTTTTATCTCTGAGGATGGTTTGCTTTCTATAGCCACCTTGGAGAAAACACAGCCAATGATGTCGCCCCTGCCTGGCGTCACAGGGTATTCCTGGTTAGAAGGAACATCAGGAGGACTGTAGTACAATCTGGAAGATGCATCTTGAGGGGTCCTGCTGTGTACCTGAATATATTTGGTTCCACTTGTTTACTCGCTCTCCAGCTGCATGGGAAGTGCCCATTTGTGTTTGCACAGAGCAGTGTCCTTGCAGTGATGTGGTGGTGGAGGTGGTGTGACTGAGCTTGGAGAACAACCTCTTTGTCCCAGGTGGGAGGAGGCCAGAGCTGCTGAACTTTTGTGTTGTCTTGCTCGGGCTTACCTCGGGAGGGCAGAGCACCTGGTGCAGATATTTTTGGGGTGGTGGTTGGAGAGTGAAGGAGCAGCTGGTGCTGTGGTGAATGGGCAGTTTCCTTCATGGGGAATGCTGTGCTGGTCTGTACTGGTTGGTTTGGACCATGGTGGTGTTTGGGGGATGTAACTTTTTGTTTGCGAAGGATGTGTTGGGTTGAAGAAGGCCTAGGCCTATGTACTCTATGTAGTGAGGCAGGTCCCCATGGCCACTGGTGTGTGCATCTCCTGTGTTTTTTGTGGTTTTTTTGGTGTTTCTTGGGTGGGGTTGGTAGCACTGGGGTGCTTTTCCGTGTCCAAATCTCCGTAGGCCTTGGTGGGTGCCCTCCTTGCCTCTTTGAGGTGCACTTTGTCCATGCCACCCTGCTTGGTCCCAAGCAGTGCTCTGGCATTGCTGAATGGTTGGTTGTGATGGGTTGGTGGCTTGGAGGTGGCTTTCATGTCTGGGTTCATGGGGTCTGTTGGGAAGGGAGAAGATGGGTGGTGGGAGAGGATGGGTGGTGGGAGAGGAGGAGCACGCAGGGCAGGCATCATGTTGTCTGGGCAAGTGTATGCTCCAGGGGTCCCGCATCAGCAAGAGATGCCTGTGGACTTGAAGGACCATGATGGGTCCCTGAGAGTGGCCTGCAGTCCGGAGCCTTCGACCGGGGCAGGAGGCATCAGTGGGATGGGCTGCAGGAAGGAGGCTCATCCCTGCCTGCCTGCAGAGACCCTGTCTTTGCCTGTCAAGTATATGCATGATGACCACCTCTTTTCTTTTTTCTTCTTTTTTGTTTTTGCAAAAAGTCTTTATTTCCAACAAGTGAATAAATAAATAAATATAGAAATATAGAAATTATTGGCCAGCTAAATAAATAAATAAATAGAGTTCTGTGATAAATAGTCGTTGGCGTGAGACTCCCGCAGTGTCCATGGGGACCTTCCTCTCCATCAGGGGAGGTCGCAGTCTGGATGGGCTAGATAAACGCCATGGGTAATAAATACCACCCCTCTCCCCATCGCCTCGTGGCTGTCCAGGAGTGTGCAGCACAGCAATTTCCTCCTCCTTCCCTTCCAGTGGTGTGGGTGCGCGGGCTGTACCGCAGCCTTCCCCTGGCCTTGCCGCGGTCATGCCCATTTTCCTGTCAGCACCAGCTCCTGGCTGGAAGAGGTGTGAGCAGGGCTGAGCAATCCCAGCCCAGGCTGCTGCTGCCTCCACCCGATCTTTGGC